TATTTTATTTTAAAATATTATTTTAATATAAACTCAAAATCCACTACCAACTAAGGGGTTGTATCTGTTTCGAATTTCAAATGACATATTTAGACTTATTGAAATTTGAGACCTTTTAAGTTTTTTAGAGAAACTTGTGAAATCTTATATATGGAAGTGAGATTTTAAGAGGATTTGGTATATGATTTTTTCTTTTGAAAATCTCAACAAATCTTGACAAATCCTATCAAATAAATAAGTTAAATATCTTATGATTTTGTAAGACTTTTTACAATTTCAAATGAATGGTTTTTAAAAATTTTTTAAAAAACAAAACAAATACACTAGAAGTTTTGACATATTAAAAAGTCTTTAGAAATCTCAAACAAATAGACCTCATAAGTTAAATATACCACTTTTCTAAGATTACCTATAATTAAAAAAAAAAAAGAAAAAAAAAAAGAAAAACTCGTTTTGGGTGGATAAACATTCGGCCCTTGTGGTCCTACCCGGCTTGATTCCAGATTAGTCGGTTTCCCTGTGGATCCGAAAACCAGAAGGTCCCTATACCCAAAAAAAAAAAAAAAAAGAACTTCCCATATTATATTGTTCTAGACCTTTTCATATCCAGATCATCATCGTGGAAAAATTTCCCAAAAAACAGGTTCTCTTTATTTTTTATTTTTATTTTTCTCGCAACACGACGGTAGAGGGGTTTCACATTCTCTCTGTAATTTTTTAGAAGGTACAAATTGTTTTCCGTTATTGTTGTGTATTTTCTCCATCTCAACTCGACCTAATTGTGTGATGGTGTACCTTCCATGTTATGAGAAATCCATGTGTTTTACCTTTTATCATTATCTCTTTATTTTGTTTTGCTTCCATGTTCGTTTTTATCTAGATTCGCTTAAAGTGTAGAACTGTGTATAATGATAGGTAGCTGAATATGAGAAGAAAAAATCAATTTTGACTAAGTATATCCCTTTGATGAAGTGAAAACGATGGTTGGATTTGTGAACAATAGAGGAAAAAATTGGAACATGATGATAATTAGGGTTTCAAATTGAATTGATTGAAAATAAATGTTTTGGGAGAATATGCAATTGGGTATGCATAGGTGAGAAATTAGAGGGAGGTGAAGAATTCTGGCGGAATTTACTGTATTTTTTGTTGGACTATTGAATCGTGGGGGGTGAAAACTTCCCTGGGTTGCGATTTATGTGTAGGCTTGAGCAAGGGTTGGCGAATTGTGCTATTGTGTTGATGTGACACGTCTGAACCGGTTGAGAAGTGCTTCGATCTGCTTGAACCGCTGTGTGTATGACCTGGAAAAACTCGACGCCACCAGAGGTGATTTCGGTGTAGAGCCTCCGATGCTTAAGTAAACAAAAGAGAGAAATTAATGATACTCTGTAAACTTAGAGCACTATATAATGTATATAGAATAGGGTTTTGTGATACCCTAGTCCCTTTTATAGAGAAATACATGTCCAAATGTGTTTATCCATATCCTAATCACCTTTAGATTCCATCTTATCCTCTTAAGATTCCTTTTAATCTTTGCCTCCTTGCCTCTGACTGGTTTAGATCGTGATCTCTTCACAGGTTTTTCTATCACTTTATCACTTTTTGATAGTCGAGGTCGAGTTGTATTAGGTCTGTGGTTGCTCAGGTCGTCTAAAAATTTTAGATAGTACCCTTAGTCGCCTAGTTTGTAGCCTAAGGTCGTTAGCCTATAGGTCGTCTAACTGCCCTAGCTTGGGCAATCCTTGACTTCTGACAACTCATTCTCCACTCCGGTCGAGCTCCACGTACTTAGAATATTTCCGGTCCACATATATGGCTATATCATGTGTTGTGTTCGTGTTTTCGCGTTATATGTTTTATTTGAACAAGTATATGAGTCTAAATTTAACTGTTTTTTTTGTGCTTTTCGTATCGCGTTTCGTTTCGTGCTGTGTCGTATTGTGTCAGCCGTGTCAATTGTCGCTATAATCCTATTTTCTAATTGTGTATGGTTCGTGTTTCGTGTCTTGTCAGCCATTGCCACCTCTAGTGACTCTACACATTAGTAAATACTTGGTTTTATCCACTATTCTAAAAAATCGGTCTAGGCGGTGCCCGGGCGCCTCCGATTTGCACAAATCGGCAGAAAAAATCGGCCAGGCGGCTCGGCGCCGCCTAGCCGGCCCTAGGCGCTCCTAGGCGGACTTGGCGGGTTCGGCGGCCAGGTGGTTAGGCGGCGCCTAGGCGGACCTAGGGGCTCGGCGACAGTTTTCTGTTTTTTTTTTTTTAAATACTAATTACATTATTTTGTTCTCATTTTTTTTTTAAATATATTAATTTTATTATTTGGATTTAGGTGTGTCGATTTATTATAAGTTGAGATAATTTTATTTTGTAGGTAGTTAAAATAAATAAAAATAAGGTATTTAATATTAATTTCTAAGCCCCGATTAGGCGCCGCCTAGGCGCTCCAGGCGCTAGGCGCTGGTCGAGCGCCTAGCGACTTTTAGAACACTAGTTTTATCTTTTCCAACTTAATTGAGTTAATGCTTAAAGATGTACTCATATGAGTTGAACAATGTGTTAGCGTTGATGACGTAAATTTAGCTTTTAATAATTTACTGGTTGCGCAGTTGTAGCTTTGGATTTGGTTGTTGGTGAATAGTAGGTTTGGCATCCTATTTAAATAGGGGGAAACAGTTTTCAATGAAAATACATACTTTTCATTTTGAAATGTATTTTGAAATGTTAAACTCACAAAAATCAATATAAGTTAACTATCGAACCCCTTTGAAAAGTAGTACATTTCACAACCTAATCAACTTTGACCAGTTTGGCGCATAGCAACAATTTTTGTGATTACATAATAGTTGTGTATGAACTTGCAAAGGTGTATATATTTGCTTGTCATGATAAATCAGTCTGATTTTACCATTGTATTGATCGATTGACGTTTGCGAATTGTTAGAATCACCATTTTTTTTTACTTGGCTTTTGGTGGTTGTTGATATGCACATTAGTAGCAAAATTTTCTTATCGATTGTTCTGTTAACTTGTTTTCCTTCATTTTAGTGTCCTCACATCTTCTACAAGCAACGACAATTTTACAACTGATGAAGTTGTTGCCCTTTTAAGGTCTTTAGCTTTGCAAACCGTAGTGCATACCAATGTTAGCTCTTCGAATCATGCTACACGTTCTTGTGAATTTTCCATATTATACTTCTTGAAGCTTACTGGAATTTATGTCTGCTTCTTGTTGTTGAGATCTATGTCGTGAAGCAAGTTTTTGACCCATAGTTATTGATGGAGATGGGAACAAGCATCATGGGATTTTTAAACAATTATTTATTCATTTTATTTACTGATAATATTTTAGTCATAGATAAGTTAGTAAAGTTATTTAATTATTCTAGTGTTCTATTTGGCAGGAAAGATATTTAATTATCTTTTACTTGTTAGACAAGATTAGAACTTTTTAGGAGTTCTATTTTAATTAATTATTTATTCCTTTAGTATTTTAGTCCCAGATTTGTTAGTAAATTTATTTAATTATTCTAGTGTTCTATTTGGTAGAAAAGATATTAAATATCATTTACTTGTTGGACAAGATTAGGGCTTTTTAGGAGTTCTATATTTAATTAATTATTTATTCCTTTTATTTACTGTTATTATTTTAGTCCTAGATTTTTTAGTAAAGTTATTTTTCTAACTATAGTTAAGTTATTCCTTTAATTAATTATTTATTCCTTTTATTTACTGTTATTATTCTCTATCTTCAATATTTATTCCTTTTTTAGTTTTTTTTTCTAACTATAGTTAAGTTTGAAAAAAGTAGTATGGTTAGTTATTAGTGGATATATTAAAATAATATTTAATTTAAAATAATTAAAGTTGATTTGATGTAAGAGTAGGAGAAAATGATTGGAAGTGATGGTTAGTTAAAATTATGTGAGTGGATGAATAGTGAATTAAAGTTGATGTAATTTGTAATAATGATTGGTTGATATTATTTAATTATATTGATAATATTGAAGATAGTGAAGTTGAATTAAAATTGAGTTAAATTTGAGTTTTGAGTGAGATATTTACTGTAGAATTCATAAACAATCACGCCCTTAAGTATTCTAGTGTTCTATTTGATAGGAAAGGTATTTAATTATCCTTTACTTGTTAGACAAGATTAGGGCTTTTTAGGAGCTATATTTAAAGTCTCTTTTTCTCTTGTGTTTCAATGGGTTGAATTTGATGTCTTTCTCTTGTTTTATCCTTTTTGTAAAAAGGTTCTATGTTTCTCTTGTGTTTCAATGGGTTGAATTTGACGTCTTTCTCTTGTTTTATCCCTTTTGTAAAAAGGTTCTATGTATGTAGTATCAATTTCAATACCCTTTCAAGGGGTGAGCTAGCAGTACCATTTGAGCCACATTCATAATGTATCTCAACTCCAACCGTCAAGAGTGGATCATGAAAACTAGTGATCTTCAAATGCTTGCAATCGGACGAACGTCTGATTTCTACGAATCACCGAATGTCTTTTAATTGATTATCCATTTTAGGATGCGCTTACTTGAGATACTTCCTCTTCTAGTTCTATAACATTTTTTAATTGATGATAGAGACGAGATTGCCTTTGGATAAACATGATCATTATTTACTTTAGTCTAGTTATTTTTTTCCATTATTATTATTATTACTATTATTGCTATCATTATATTATTATTATTATTATTATTATTTGCATTATTTAGATGGTAAGTGAATATTTATTTTCACTTATCCTTGTCTTGGGCAAGTTAACTAATCTAGGTCTGGGTAGGACTTTTATTTAAGACGACTTCTCTTCTTTTAGAGGAGGCGGATATATTTGAAATAAAATATATCAGTCTTTTCCCATTCGTTACGCTGCGCTACATCACATTCTATAACATTTTGTACGGCTAAATTGTAATTTTAGCTTCTCCTCCTTTAATGCAGGAGTCATCATTACTTGAGGTAAAATTCTTTACTAAACCTACCACATGAAGCTCTCCGAAAAACCAAAAACCGAGACCTTTGAAAGTACCAAACCAACCGATAGGTTGGCCTTCATCACAAATCCTTGCGTCAAGTTAGCAATACCTATCGGGCCCCGTTTCCAGGTCCACGTACCCTCATGGTCTCCTCCTTTCACAAGCACCAAAAATGGGCCAAAACCGGTCGACTCAAGGTGGTTAGGAGCCCAAATATGGCCCACTAAGGGAAAAATGCAAGAAGATACCAAACACGACAACACGATCGGCAAAGGCAGGCCCGACACTTGCGAATGCGCAATCCCATTATCGATCGAGTGCGTTAGACGGCACGTCTCGGATAAAAGGACTCGACTGAGGGTGGAACTCGGGCCTGCCTTCTGGCAATGGAAGTTTGACAGTATGGGAGAAGATGTGTCGAGGATGTGGAGTCGAGAAGACGAGAGTGCATTCTCGAATGTCGTTAGAATGAAACCGAGCTCACATGGCGGGGGATTTGTGAAGTGGGCCTTGGAGTGTTTTCCCAGCCACAATAAAGGGAGTATCTTGAGCTATTATTTGAATGTGTATATCCCGAGGCGGATAAGGATTCAAACCGGGTCGGGATGTGTGGCGATTGACACAGATGAAGAGGAGGTGGAGGAGGAAGAAGAGGAGATAGTGCCGATTAAAAGGTCGCGAAAAAGGTTGCGGGCTAACAGTTTGGTTTCGGGAAGTTCAATGAAGTACATAAAGAAAAAGTACTTAAGCAGATGCCGGTGAGTTATTTTTTTTATTCCGGGCGACGGTGTAGAAAATTTAGGATTGTTTGAGTTTGTGGTGGGAATTCTTGGAACAAATTATGTGATTGCTATTAGGAAGTGTTTTTTTTTTCTGTGAATTATTGGAATTTGAGGTCAACCCGAAGAGTAAATTGCAGGAAGAAGATTATGGGGGTGATATACGAATATAAATATCTTATTATTATTACTATTATTATTATTATTATTATTATTATTTGGCACTTAAGTTAACTATAATTCTGTTCAGTTTTATGTTTTCGGCTGTGGAATTGGAACACACAAAACTCCGGTCACACAGTGTTTGCCTTGCATCCCTTTTTAATAATCATGGTACTTCTCAGACTTCTGGAAAATTAAGGTTGTGTGTAAGATTTGGGGTTTTACAAGGCTTTACAATTATCTGTTTGTGGTTGATTTTGAAGATATTTCTTTGACTTGGATTTTGATTTTTGAGTTCATGTTTTTCTCCATAACACACATTCTTTGTACATCAGTGATTAGAAATCTTCCCTCGTCTCCATTAATATTCCAAGTAGATATAAATGTTTTATAGTTTGGACAAAGCTATTTGTTATCTTCCTAAACCTCGAGCACAGAACAGTGGCAAATCATAAGCAGGAGTAGCTTAAAACTCGACAGATTCCAGCAAAATGCAACAATGTCCTTCCTTGCAATCTCGCTCGTCGAGCAGAAACCTACTCCCCGCAAATGTGCGATTTCATTGAAGGATTTTGCCGAACTAAAGGCAGCCAAGAAGAAAATAACATCTAAGATACTTGTACTATAATGTCAACACTATAAAGCATTACAATTGATACTCGATCATATTACATACTCTGGATTCACATAGTTGTTCAATTCAACTGCACAACATTCAAACCCGTCTGAACAAGCAAATTCTATAGCTTCAACTTCCTAGACTTGCTATGCTTCAAGCTCCTCAAAGGGGTCATGTAGAATGGCTTTATGCCAACACCAACGCCATCCGAACAACACCTATTACCAAATTCCGCATCCTTTTCTAGTTCAAAACCCTCAATCCCATTCAAACCATAGAATCCACGGCCACCATCTACACTTCTCCGGCAATTTGACTCCGCTGAATCGCACGAATTCCTAGGGCCCACAACACTTACGCTACGTGCAAGCCTAGGAACACATTCCCTCAGGGGCCCAACTTCTCTAGTATCATAGAAAGATGGGCCCACCACCATGTGTCCTCCCGGGCCTCCATGCTTATTGTGATTGTCACTATGCTTATTGTGATTGTCACTACACTTTCGACCAAAACCAAAGGCATAACAAGCCTTACGCCAACCAACTGATTTTTTCGCAGCATTTTCAATATTAGCAGCATTTATATTTCCATTACCGTAAACGGGCCCAACATTTTCCAGCCCGTCGTTCAATCGCCAGTCTTTGAGCTCCTTCTCGGTGATCACCAGCTTTACATTATCGTGATCCTCCGAGCCCGATGGTTTCTTCCCGAAACTCCGGACAGAGCTCGACTGGTCGAAACTGCTCCGTCTCATTGTGAAAGACGAATCTGAATTCGAGTGTCCGGAGCCCGAGGCCCCAGAAGTGCTCTCATCCTCGACAATCGAGTGCATTGGCCCATCTACCGACAGCCTGTGGCTCTCGAACTTGTTGGTGCCCCCTAAAATGCCGTGCTCGACTACAGACAACATGGGAGCCAACCTAGGAATAGTTCGGGCTATCATGTACTCATCCCACGAAGCCCGTGGTTCATCGAACGAGATCTCGGGATTTCGAGCATTCCCTGATTTTCTCCCTTCCATGTGGTTTTTCTGATTCTTCACCTGATTGGTATTATTGTTCTGTCTCCAGCTTAATAGTCTCCTGGTGAAAACAGAGGCTGCGCCCAAGAGATTTCCAGTAATTTTATCTCTCAAATCCTTGGATTTCTTGGCCTTGTTTTGGAATTCGAGATCTATGTACTCTTTCATCGTCTTGAAATCTCTTCCTTGGATATCCCCATCGCCATCAGCGCCGTCGGCGCTGGATTCCCCCAATTTGTGACTCGAAACCCTAATCTCGTCACCATTGTTGTTCTCCAGCTCGATCGCGGCGGAGGCGGCTTTCGAGAACCCCGCATGTTTCCCCACATTCTTCGATTCAACTCTGGCTTCGCCCTCTTCCGATCCGCTCCTCAAATCGTCCACGTCGAAGAGAGTGCACAGGGAGCTCCGATCCGAGGCGGCCTCGCACGATTTGCGGCGCGGCTCGTTCCTGCCGCTGGTAGAACCCTCGAATTTGGGGAAGGTGACCACGGACCTGCATCGCCGGAGCTCCGGCGACGGCGCACTGGGGGCACCTACGGCGGCGACGAGGTCGAGACTGGAGAGGCGTTCGCGGAGGCACGAGGCGCAGATGCCGGTGGCGGGCTCGTCGGGGTGGCGGCAGCAGGGGGAGGTGCGGCGGGCGGCGCGTGTTCGGGTCCGGGAGCGGGTTTCGGGCCGGGCGGTCATCGGAGGGGAATGTGGGCTTGGCGCATTCGGTGATGATGTGGTGTGTGTGCAGAGAGATGGAAGGAGAGAGGGGTTGACAGAGTATCCTAGGAGAAGCGTAGGGTTGCCGGTAGGCAACGACAAGAACCCTTTGTCAGAAACAAGTAAATACTACGCTGTTAAATGTAACACTTTTTTTTTTTTACTATGCAATTAAATAATATATTTAATATTGTTAACATAATTAAATAATATTAATCATACTTACGCATTATATTAATTTTAATTAATATTCATCCACTCACATAACTTTAATTAGTCATTACTTTTCATCATTTGTCCATACATTTATATCAAATCAACTTTAATTGTTAAACATTATTTTAATATAAACTCAAAATTTCACTAACAATTAACCACGACACATTTTTCAAAATTAACACTGGTTAACTAAAAAATATGTCGTTTTGAGCGGATATATTTGAATTCAAACGCGCCATAAGCAACTTCTGATGACTAAGTATGCACTTTAATATTAAAGTTAATAAAATATGTGCAATTGATATAAAGTAAGTATGCATTGTGTATTTCAAGATGTGTAGCTCTTAAATTGACGATAACTCTGAAGACACCGTCAAATTTTGTCGTTCCTACGCACAAGCTCGGCGCCGAGCCTCATGGATACGAATACCACGAATCTGGAGGAGACCGTGAATACACAGTCGTGGTCTAGTCAACTAAGCTTGGCAAGTTTGAATTCACATGAATGGATGAAGTGGAGCTAATAGGAGGCGGCGACCGATGAAAGATAGGGAAACATATAAGAGTGGAAGCATCGTATATTTAAGAGGGAAAGAAAATCTACACTAATCCATTAAGTTAGAACAAATTAAAATGTTAAATCTTGACCATATATCTAAATACTATTTAATAGTTTGAATTTATCCGCACATTCTCATTTTAAGAATAGAAGTTCATTTGATTTGGTTTTGTTTGGATGTTAGCATATTGAACCACATTTAAAGATTTGACCAGTCAAATTCGCTAGCTAGCTTGTTTCATAAATAGCTTATTTGATTGTCATTTTTAGCCCAAAGCCGTAAATTTGAAAAGCACAATATATGAACATTTTGAAAATATATGATTTATAAAACAAACATGTCAACACAAAATTTCAAACTAGCTATATAAACTACTATTTATCAAATATTTATTTACAATCATCTATCCACGGGTAAAATCCAGTAACCAGTATCAGATATATGTTAATACAATCATTTATCTACTAGTCAAATTTATTATCATCTAATCTGCTAATTTTAATCATCTATCTACTATCAGTCGATAGTAGAAAAAATGGTCAATATATTAACTAAAATATAACTTTAGACTCGTAACAATCGTGTATTTGTTAATATTATTTCTTTTTAATATGGCATATTAGTTGCTATATATAAATTTAATAATGTTCTTTCAGCAGATGTATGATTCCAGTGCTTTGTAATAATACGCGTCAAATTGTACTAGTAGTTTAAGTAATACATGTAGATTTCAGTTTTGTTCATTCAAATCATAACTTTAAAAAGTTATGTTCACCTTAAATTATAATATACTTACATTTTTAATAATTTATTTTATCAATATATAATATGTTATGAATTAATCGATTTGAAAACCATAAATATCCCCCTATATATTAAGTTAAACCTTGTTGAGCCTAAGTTGCAGACTCGCATGTTTCGTGATCTTATGTGGCAAAATTACATGTTTCGTTATTAGGCTTGAGTTAATCTTAATTTACTTCCAACTCAAAAATAATTAGGTATGGATTATTCATAAACATGTTGATTATCTATGCTTATGTTATATATATTAATTGTAATATCATCTCTTATTATAACCATTGACTTGTAAATGTATTTTAAAAATTAACAACTTTGTATATTTTATAAGTTTTACATATATAATATATTAAATCAATCATCTCTTGATCAACTTCGATTTAACATCCGTATTGTATGTACAACAAAATAAATTATATTTATTTTGATAACAATAATAAAATTGTTTTATAATATTAATTAGAAAAATAAAATTATTTATCAATTAGTATATTAATATTTCAAGAAATTATATGATATAAGTATAAAAATTACTATAATATGAAACATTTAAGTCGCACAAGTAACAAGTGTCATTCTAAAATATATAACAATATATATTTTTTTGTAAAAAATTAAAAAAAAAATTAAAATAATTTTTCTCATTAATTCTAAATTTTAAAAATATTTTTAACAGGCACCTTGTAATACATGGGCCTTAGTACATCTTTAATTCTCTTAGGGTTCGTTTGGTAGGCTTGATATGGAGTGATATCAAACCATTTCATACCATTTCCTTCTTATTATTTTGTTTGGTACAATCATAAAAGCCCTTGAAAAAGGCACATGGCCCGACAACTAGTCAGCATTTTAATTACACCATATCCCACCTTCTTGGTGGGATGTGTAATCCATCAACATTTGATCTTTAAAATTCCAATAAATGCCCCTTATTTCTTTATCTCAATTGAAACTTTCCTCTGCTACATAACTCCAAGTTTGCCTGCAACTCTTCGATCCATTGCTGCTAATTTTTCCTCTGGTCTCCAGTTCTTGTGTCGCACCTTCAAGCACTTCTCGACATAATTCCTGATGAACTATGACCCGCCGTCGCTTGGCCACCATGTCTCAGCCACAACTTTGTCGAAGGGCGTTGACCAGAGACCAGAGATTGCCATGCCTCAGGATAATCCGCCACATCTCTCCTGTTATCAAACCATGGCTGAAATTGAAAGGAATTTAAAATAAAAAAATTCCGATCGGGATCTCGCAGAGGAACAAATCGATCTATGGAAAAATTGATTCCATCTCTTTTCCCAATTCATCCAAACATTAGAAAATTGATTTAGGGAAGAAACTTTTTTACCCTTTAGTTAAAGTTGAATTTTCTAATGTTGCCATTCATCTTCTCTCTTTCCTCTAGTTCATAAAAAAAAATCTCCTTACGATTTTTCCATAGAAAGAAAACGCAGATGAAAAAATTGATTTTTCCATAGAATGAAAACGCAGATGAAAAAATTGATTTAGGGAAGAAACTAGGGCTGAAGAAAGAAATCGCACGCGAAGAAATCGATTGGGATCTTTGCGGCTGATTGGCTTTAAGTATAAGGGTTATTTATTTGTTTGGATGAATTGGGAAAAGAGATGGAATCAATCGGCTTTAAGTAAGGAGATTTTTTTTTATGAACTAGAGGAAAGAGAGAAGATGAATGGCAACATTAGAAAATTCAACTTTAACTAAAGGGTAAAAAAGTAATCTTACCAAAAATACTATGTTTATCAATTATGAACCAAACAAGGTAATAGGTCTTTTTATCGAAAGGATATCACTTCAATTTATCTACAGGAATCAATCAAGCTCAATCACCCAAGAGTAACCAAACTCACCCTTATGGTCAAACTCGTCACGACAATCAACGCTCTTCAACCTTTTAGTAATGTATTTTTTCTATGATCTTTATATATATATATATATATATATATATATATATATTACAACAGGCACACAAAATTAACTGAATATAATTGTATGAAGTATGGCTAATATTTTTTGACCGAAAATTAAACCGATGAGAAAATAAATTGAATTAAACTGACTCATGTGTACCGATAACTGAAAATCGACTTCCAAAATTTTATCGGTTTGGTATCAGTTCTAAACCCATAAGAATTCAGTTTTTACTGAACCCATAACAATATATATATATAAATTAAAATACTTGGAATTAGGCTTTTGAATAGGTATATATATTTGATAAATAAAATGATAAATTAAGTTAATAGACTAAAAATGGTTTAATTTAATTTGTTTTAAATCTTAATTAACTTAAAAAAAGGAACGGACATAACATACTCCCTCCTATTTTTATTATTTGTCACTTTGGTTTAATGGATCATTTATTAAATAAATACTTTTTTGGCTATTTTGTTTATATTTTTCAATTTTTAACCCTCCATCAATGCATAGTGTATCTTCATATTTCATCTGCATACTTTCTCATAACACTATTAGATAAGGTTAATATTAACAAGAAAAAAATTCTTAATTAGCGAAATGCTTCTCAAAACGACAAAATTATAAAAATACGAGGGAGTATAAGATATTAGGACCGATCTAGGGCTGGACCCTCAAAACCTCCTTCAGAAATCAGATGGTTAAAAAAAAGAATAATGCTATAGGTACATAATATTGTACATAGGGGTGTACATAACAATCACATTGAGTGGGACTCACTAAAACTAAAAAATTAAGTAAACCCCACTCTATGTGAATGTATGCAGTGCTACTACCGTGCACTCTGACACACCTAGCAAGGTGTGTCAAGACAGTTTAAAATAAACATGTTATTTTATAAAATAAGTAACATGTTCATTTTTAAAAAAATTTTGGCACATCTTGCTAGGTGTGCGAGGGTGCACTTAAGTATTTGCGGAATGTATATACATATACATTTATTATATACCTACAGCATTTTCCAAAAAAAAAAAAAAAGGGAGTTCAATCGTTCATCACTTCACAAATTAGATCGCCTCCTTCACCTCGACCCGTTCTGCCGTTCACCACTTCACCTCACACCTTCGCCGTCAGCCGACACACCTTCGCCGTCAGCCGTGCCCCAGGTTAATTATCTTCAAACACGATAATTATTAAGTTCTAGATCCTGCCTTCTGCTCCCTTCCGTCTCCCAAAATTCTTCGTATTTTTTTCTTTGGAGTGCTAATCCTCACAGGACACATTCATTGGCTGATTCCTAATTTCACACTGAATTGCAGCAATTGGGAATTTCACCATCAATACTTCAGATTGCAGCTAGGTTTTACCGCTTGTGCGTCTAAGCAGTAAGGTTTTTGCTCTTATTCATTTTCAATACGACGTGCTTGCGTATTCGTATGTTTTTTTTTTCCTTGTGAGATTTGGAATGATCTGGAATCTATTGTTTAGGAATTTCGTGTTTTGATTCAAGCTGAATATTTTGATTTGAGCTATTCGTTTGTTGGTCGTGGATTGTACAGAAATTTAGGCATTAGTATGGGCAATCGAATTAATTAAAGTTAGGAGAAACAATTTGATATGGGAAAATATGATTAGTGCTTGTGATTTACTGTAAGAGGCGGTATTGTATATGGTAGTGATGATCAGTAACTCCTTGAAACTATTATAAATTTGATCCCAAATGCTGTTATTGGGTTGCCAACTATTAGCCGGGCCGATCCATTACATTTCTTTTTTTTTTTTTTTGAAAAAAAGTGCAAACTTTTATTGTGAATTTCATATTTTTGCTGATATTATGACATGTGAATATGAAATTTTGCATATCTTTTGAAAACAAATAAGGCGGCCTGATATAAACAGGGCCTGATATAAACAGGATGATCGATTTGACACAATCAGGATCTTAGAGTATTGTATGTTCTGCACCAATTTCCTGCTTTACCTTCTTTAGATAGCTTTGATCAATTAAAACTGATTTTGAGTTGAGTATAAGATTAGTGTTTAAAGGAAAGGTGTAATATTTAAAATTGCTTTGTTTCGGGACTCATTGATAATCTAGATAATCCTATTTTTACCAGTTGTTGAAGGAGTTTAATTAATGAAAATGAGATCAGAAAGTGATACGAGGTAATTTGCATGCCGTGAGTAACTGTCTCATTCTCTCAAAATAAAATTTAAACTTCTCCTGTTAGATAGACTGATAGAGTTAATGTCTCGCCACACGATCCTGTTCAAGTTATTATTTTCGTTTTCATACCTCACCTTTCTTGCTTTTCATTATTGAGTGAGCACTCGACACTAATATAAACTGATTTGCTCAAACATGAAACAACACTATTTATCTGTGAATGCTATGGACAACTATTTAATAGTTTAAGTTACAATTGTTTGTTGCCAGCTTATATACTCACACTAGAGGGCAAACGAATCAAGACAACTCCAGATTTTTTTTTTCTTCTCCAAAATTCTGCCGAATGGCACTGCTTCCTTCAAAGGGAGTGGTGATATCCATTCCGACTCTCGTCCTCACCGTCTCGGCTGCCGCAATCCTCCTATTCTTCCTTGTAACCTCCCTCTCATCATCTCCTTCAACTTGCACCTGCCCAGTCTCCCCCTATGCAGCCAGCAGCTACAGCCTCAAAACCACGGCCCATATCTCGCCCTCACCTGATGACATAAACTGGGTCAAGGCCCAAATTGAGGCCAACGGGCTGCACATGCACGAAAACATCCTTCGAAAAGGCATAAACCCACGAACCCGCCAGCAGCAGCTGCAAGACCTCCTCCAGTTCAAGGGCATATCTCACTACGAAGGCCCTGAGGCGAATAACCACACTGCTCTCCCTTGCCCGGGTGAACTACTCGTTGAGGAACACCACAGCAATTACGGAGAGCCATGGGCAGGTGGCCGTGACGTATTCGAGTTCTTAGCCGGTTCGGCTAACCTGACCCCCGACTCAAGAGTTCTCGAGATTGGTTGTGGGACCCTCCGCGTGGGCCTTCATTTCATCCGATTCTTGAATCCCGAGCGGTACCACTGTTTGGAGAGGGATGAACTTTCTCTAATGGCTGCCTTAAGGTATGAGCTTCCGTCTCAGGGTTTGCTTCAGAAGCGCCCGTTGATCATGAAGGGTGAGGATATGGATTTCGGTAGGTTTGGATCGGGTGTCATGTACGATTTGATTTACGCGAGTGCTGTTTTTCTTCACATGCCCGACACGCTTGTGTGGACGGGTATGGAGAGATTGGCGGGCAGGTTGAGACCTGTGGATGGTCGGATTTTCGTCTCGCACAACATCAAGTTTTGTTCTCGTTTGGGAGGTGAGGAGTGCACGAGGAGGCTGAATGGATTGGGGCTTGAGTACCGGGGGAAGCACACGCACGACAGTTTGCTCTTCAACCATTACGAGATATGGTTTGAGTTTAGGAGGTTCAGAGCTTAAAAGGCTTTTTTGCTGAAGAAAAATGTTGTTCTTGACCTGGAGAATGTGTTCGCTTGGCCCTTCTGAGTTATGTCGTGTAATTTGTTTACTAAATTTCATTCATACACTGTTGATTTGTGTACTTTTTTTGTAGTATTGATCAGGTGTTCATGGTGCATTAGGAAAGGAAAACTGCTTCTTCAACTCACTGCCACTTTTTTCCTTATTATCGAAGTTGAAATTATCGTGTATCTATAATGCTGCATTTTTTCGCACGTCTTTTTCCTGCAAACGAGAATGTTCATACAGGATGATGGCCGGGGCTCCTTGGCTGTAAGTGATTATTTGGGGATGATGGCCGGGGCTCCTTGGCTGTAAGTGATTATTTGGGAATCATGAGAGGGCTATTTATATTATTGAATATTAAGTTAACCAGCTTGTAACTTTGATGGTATGATGATTACATGAGGGCATGATAAGATTATGTTATGCTGTTATATTATTTTTTTTTTTTTTTTTTTT